GACCAATGCGGGAAGGCCCTTAAGTGACACAGAGCAATCCAGTCACTCGTGGAGCTGAGGTTCAGACACATGACGTGATGGCTGGGGCCACAGAGCCCTGGTCAGAACTGGACAGGCCGGGCCCGCCTTCCACAGTGTCCATTCTACCACCGGGCTGGGATCCAGAGCACAGAGTGAGTGGTGACCGGCCCAGGACGGGGACCTTGCTGGACAGACTGGGCCAAAGCTGAGGAGGGGGTGCGGGCAGCCGCTTGGGGATCCTTCAGTTTAGGGAAGCTGATTGCCGAAAGTGCAGGGAAAAGGAGGATCCATCTTCCCCTCCCCCACCAAGATGTCTACGCCCTAGTCCCGTAGAACCTATGGATGTGTTGGGTTAGCCGGCAAGGGGGAGTTAAGGTTGCTACTCAGCTGACCTTAAAATAAGGAGATTCTTCTGGAAAAGGCGAAAAAAAAAAAAAAAAAAAAAGGACTCTGCAGAACCCTCCCAGAAGGAATGAGCCATGCAGACACTTTGATTTCAGCCTGGTGGGCCCCATCTCAGACTTCTCACCTCCCGAATGATAAAATAGGAAAGTTGTGTTATTTTAAGACTCTAAGTTTATCATGCTTTGCCTACAGCGGCCACTGGAAAGCGATGCAGTGGCAGACTTAAGTCCCAGGTGTCACCATAAGCCCCCACTCCCTGTCCCCTGTGCACAGGCCATGGGATGGGGGGCCTTGGCCTCTGCACTGTTCCTTGTAGGAAGGCTCCCCGGGAAGGGAAAGAGACCCCCACTTGTTCAGCCCCACCGCTGAGATTCTGGGTTGTCTGTGAACAACAGTGAGCACTACTGAACTCACTAAGGCAACTGTAACTAGTACTTTATACTTTTGATGTCACTGTAACTAACACAGTACTTGAAACAACAGTGAGTGTTCCCTATACAAATGAAAAGATTTCTGAAGTTGGGAAGGGGAAACATTCCCCAAACCACAAAAGAATGCACGGGGCATCGTCTGGAATGGAAAGAGGATGAAACCAAGTACGGAACAATGAAGTGAAATCTAAACTATGTTTTAGAAATGCTGCGTTCCACCCTGACAGGGAGTTTTTGAAAAAAATGCAGTGACTAGAAGGGTCTTTTTTCTCTTTTTTTCTTGGCATGTCGGGAGCAAAAGCAGACTTTCCTGTGCTCTTCAAGGGTTAGTGACTGGATTGAGGGCACCAGGGGTGTGCTTAGCAAATCTGTGACTGAACAGTTAATACAATAAAAGACAAATTAGTCTTCCATTGCTGGTGATAGAGTGGCCTAGATAATCTGAAAACCTTCCTGCAGGAGACGATTTAGGGAGAATTATCACCCACAAACTTTTAAATGCATCCTTAACTCATGTTTGAATGATTCATGTAACAGAGACTTGAATTATCCTCAAATGACTAAAAAAAGTAATCTGTTTTCCGTTTCACTTTAAATAAATACAATTATGTTTATATTTCCATTTGACTCAGTTCTAGAAGGGACGGAAAGTCTACTTTTCAAAGAAAACCATATGTAAAATTAGTAACGCTCAGAGCTATCACATATTAGATTTACAAGAACTTTACTGACATATGGTTTTGGCTACCCTGGGAAATGGAGGGGAACGGGGCCATCAAAATGTATTTAACAGAGAGATTTTACCCACATCACCACCACAAACTCCTGAAGATAGGCAGAAATGAGTAATAGCGTGTCTCATAATTATGTTCCGTGCCGCCTTGGCACCCTGGTCCTGCTATTTGATGGAACAGAACCTCGCTCACTAATTCTAACTTTGCTAATCTGTATTTGCAATAACGCTCATAAAACAAGCCGTCTCAGCCCATTTCTCCACGGATACTTTGTAGTGGAGAGCAGTGGAGGGGTCTCAAGTCATTAAGACTTCATTACTTTTACCGAGGGCCCAGATGACAGCGCCCTGCAGGGTGAGGCGGGGCCGCCAGCGCCTTTAGCTCAAGCTGGTGGCTCCTGCCACGACAGGGAGTTACTTAGTTTCCCTCCGTCTCTCCCACTAATACAGGAGGCCTACATGTTACTAAACTTCTGTTTGTTTTTCTCTTGTTAATCCGCCATGAATTTAGAAGGGTAGAGGGCAACACCAGCATGCTGTAACACTCAGCACACGTTAGTTACTATTTCCACTACTAAGATGCTACCTGAACTGGCTGAGAGGCCCCTTTGCATCACTAGTACACACTGGAGATGGCTCAGAAGTGGAGGGACGTTGCAGATCCTGCATGCTCTGGGGGATGAGAGGTGATGAGAGGCTCGGGAGAAACTCTCTCAGGAGCTATTTATTATTTTGTGCCTGGCACTGGGCCAAGGCCCTCGGGACAATGCTATCAATAAGACTCGGCTCAGAAATGGGGTGCCTGGGTGGCTCAGTCAGTTGAGCGTCCGACTCTTGGTTTTTGCTCAGGTCATGATCTCAGGGTTGTGAGATTGAGCTCTGCACTGGGCTCCGCACTGAGCACAGTGTCTGTCTGTTCCTCTCCCTCTGCTCCTACCACCTGGCCCCACCCCTTGCCCCGCGCAAGCGCGCTCTCTTTCAAATAAATAAAATCTTTAAAAAAAAAAAAAGACTCAGCCCAGAAGTAAGGAGAAGAGAGGCAGATAGGTGGAGTTAAGTGTGATAATGAGGAAACGGGTTGCTGTGGGAATGCACAGGGGGGCACCTGGCTCAGACAGCAGTAAAAAGAAAACACAAAAGAACATGAAGATAGTTATGGGAGAGGACTTTATTGTTTCCAATTGAGAATTTAAGCACTAGTCTTTGTTACTCAACTTAAGCACTTAATGAAAGGGTTCCCAAAGTTTTTAAGGCTGTTATTTTGATTTATGATTTACCTCTGATGATTATTCTTTATTATAGTGGGTTGTCGTTTTTTTAGTTTATTTTTTAATAACATCTACTCCACAGAACTGCCTCCTCTCTGGCCATGCCAGAGTAAGCACGGACACCCTGAGCTTTCTTGCTGGAACCTCTGTAATACAGGGGAATGCACTGAGGGGCATTGCTGGTAAGCAAAATACTTCAAGCAGCAAAAGGCCCCTTTCTAACCAGTACCCCTGGGTCAGGATGCCAGGCCCTTCCTCCAACTCTGGCCAAGTGTGACTGGTCTTGGAAAATGCAGAATAACAGTGACAGATCCCTAAGTAGCTCCTACTTGACTGGGGCCCCAAAGGCTGAAGGACCTGTCCTGAAATTACTTGAGGAGTTTACCTGTGGGATTAAATGCCCTTTGGCACTGGTCCTGATGGATGGAAGGAACAGAGCTGAAGAAGTAGCAAAGGAAGCCCTGTCCTGAGCCTTTCCCACAGGAAGGTCAGCTGGCCCAAACCTCCCATTTAAAAGAATAGGAAAACTGAGCCCTAGCAAAATGATGGGCCTCAAAACTTAGAACCCAAGTTCACTGCTCACCAGCACAAATAAGTTGGTTCCTTGCTCCTGGCGCATAAATAAGCTATTTAATTTGTAATTCACAAAGCTTAGCTGTTTACAATTCAAAGAAAATTAGAGCCCTTTATGAAGTTTCTCCTGGGAAGCTAATAAGTACAGTTTACATCTCTGATCTTAAAAATCTCCATATTGATATCTCTCCACGCAATTTAATTACGGCGACTTTGATTTGGTATCATTCCAACAGATACGCTTTAATGCCACTCAACAGCCAGGGACAGGGGAGTCATGGGCAGACGGCTGCCACATAGTCCAAGGCCATGAGTGTAACTGGGGGTGTTCCTTCCTGTGGAACTGCCCAGGTCAGTGGGCAGCTGGATGCGGATCCCTAGCAGTAGGAACTAAAGGTCAAAGTTATCTTTAAAAGCAACCCCTTTGAGGCACTCTCTCCCTTTTTTGTAACTAAACCAATGCAAAGGGCCCCAAAGCCTATTCTCCATGATAGTGGAGCTGTTTTGTGAAATCCCATGCCTCTTCAGTCCCTACACACCAGTTAGCCATTATTCTTCTAAGTGCCAGTTACTTTACTTGTTGTTGAGAGCTTCTCTCACCGGTGAAAAATAATATCTACTCTGGAATGCAACTTATTAAAAACCGCTTTGTTGCCCCTGTTGAGGGAGAGAATTAGTGCCCTAGAGTGGGAATGGCAGACAGAGATCACCGGGCTCTCCTACAACAAGAATGGGCACAAACGGGCCCCCCAAAGCAGCCATGTTTGGATAAGGCTTCTGTTAGTGGAAGACTGACTTTATCAGTAATGTGTACAATGAAGACCCTGAAGGAAGCCCCACACTGAGGTGACTCAGTTTCTGCGACGGTGGCCTTGGGTCCTCCCATATGGATCGACTGTCATTCCAAAGGAGAAGAGAAACAGACATCGACAGGGTTCGTACAGAGTCGGAAGAACAAACGGGAACTGTGCTCGGAGAGAAGGCGGTCTGAACATAAAGCCCGCTTGGATTCGTATTTTTTGTTTGTTTTTAAGAAAGATGACTCTTTCCTGGATTTAGCTTCCTTGGTTCAGAAGTTTAGGATTTGAAGAGGAAAAAAAAAAAGCTCACGGAAAAAACACTTAAGAAAAGCTGGATGCGAAAGAAAGTCGGGCGAACGGGGACCGTCACAGTGAGTAATTAATGACAGAAATTGTTTCCGCTCCTCTGGTTCTTTTGTCCGTATAAGACGCTGTCCGCCTACAATCACTCATCACCACGACACTACACACATGGACTTCTAATCGCTCCGGATACTCGTTTTCCTAAGACATCTGCTCATCCTGAGTGAGTACTGGGCGCAAACGTGTCTGGGGAGCTTGTGCAAGCAGGTCCTTCAAGTCATTCTGATTTGCATGCAACTCCCACCGGCTTCGAGGCTGCGGGCCCTGCGCGTCCGGGGCCTCGGCAGCGCGGGCCGAGTTAGTCTGCGGAGCCCCGGAACGGCCGCCAGAGCCCGCGCCCCGGCGCCCCCTCCGCGCCCCGCCCTCGCGCCCCGCGGGAGGACAGAAAATGGGAACGAGTCAGTACCGGCGGGCGGGTGTCCGGCCTTCGTCTCTAGCTTCCCCTCGGGAGGCGAAGACATGATGCGACCGCGTGTCCGAGGGGCTGCGACGGCGACGGCGAAGACAGCGGGCTCGCGGGCCGGGCTGGAGGAGCGCGAGCGGGAGCGGGGGCGGCGGGGCCGCGCACGGAGGCGGTGACGGCGGCCGCCGGGAGGGGCGGGCCGGCGCGCGCCGACGTGGCGCGTCCCGCCCACCGCGGCTGCGCGTTGTCGTCACGGCGCCTGGCCCCGCCCCTCCGGCGCCCGCGCGTGCTGTGTGGTGAGCTTGCGCAGTCGGCAGCGCCACGTTGGAAGTTGTGGCTCGGGGCGCGGGAGGAGGAGGCAAGGCGAGGGCTGGTGTTTGTGGGGAGAGGAGGCGGGGCTGCTGCTGGCAAGGGTTGTTGGCGGAGGTTGAAGTGGCCCAAAAGGAGGGTGGCACCTTCCCGGGCCGCCCTCTACCGACCGCCAGATGGACGGTGACGACGGTGGCGCGCCCCTGGGGACCGGCCTGTCTGCCAGATGCCCTTGTCCAGCTCACGCTTGGAGAGATTAATCACGTGCGGAGAGGAGACCCCCCCCCCCCCCAGGTGGGACCGATCGGGAGCCCGAGGATTGGAGGGATTTGTTAAAAGATGCTGCAAATGGGAGTACTGCCCGTGAGAAAGCGCTGGGAAGCCGGGGGTCTGGACAGAGTTCCAGGACTGTGTTGCGCCTGTGTCCCGTGTGCTGTCTCCTTGTCGCGATGGATCTCGATTCTGTCCAAAGCTGATCCTTCGCTTTCGTGCCCCGGTTCGCATCCTTCCCGCTTTCTCAGGCGCTTTGCAATTGCAGATATCCCCTCCTGCGCCATCAATCCCGCCTTGCTGAATTAGCGTTCAAACATGCCCAGTGTCTTTAGAAAAGGAAACACTACCGTCTCTCTTGGCTCTACATCTACTTTTGACAATACAGTACCTCTTTTGATCAAAGAGGTTGAGCATCTCACTCCCTCTTATCCCTCAGTCCAGTCCAATCCATCTAGTGATCCTCCAGCTGTACAGAGGCTGCCCCCAAACCGGGAAGGTTCTTTTGCCAAGGTTACTTAGGACTTCCATGCTGCCCAATCCAGTGGTCGCTCTTCCAGTCTCATCCTACTTGACCTCTCAGCAGCACTTGACCTAGACGACCGTCCCCCTCCTTAGCTTCAGGGATGCCACATCCCTGCCTTGACATCAGTGTTCTGGCTGGGTGCTTGGCTGCGAACTCTGTTAGGTGTGTTGGCTTCTTTTCTAGATTTGTAAACATTTGAGTATTCTAAGGCTCAGCACCAGCCTTCTTCTCTGGACTTCGCTCTAGTGGTCACCTACAGGCCCACAGGTATGACCGTCATCCATATGCTTAAGGATACCAAATCTGCAAACCCATTTCACTATCCCTGTGCCTTCACTAGGCTTCAGGCTACTTCCTTGACCTGTGGATGTCTAAGGAGCACTGCCCAACTCTGCATCACAGCACACATAGAAATGCACATTCTACTCATTTGTCCTGGGCTTTCTCCCCACATTTCAACAGTATAATAGCAAGATAGCTGTTGGCCAGGCGGCAGTCATGATATATTTGTCATCCCTTACATTCATTCATTCACATCAAAACTCAAAGACAGGTGTCAGCAGCTTAGAAGAAAATCCAAAATAAATAGTAGAGCGCTCTTTTTAAGAGATGCTGCATCACTTACACTCTTAATGCAGCAGAGTGAGAAAATCCACAGACAGCTATTGATTTGGATTCTGAATGGAAAGAACGTTTAAGGATACCCAACCAATTAATTGTATGAATATTTTCCTTTTTATGTATGTGCATGAGTACTATATGGTTAAAAACTCGTCTTAATAAGCCCAAAAGAACCATTTCTAGGAAGTATAAAATTTCTAGGTTAGAAAACATTGTGTTATAGTTTAATTGGCAGCATTTTTGCCTTCAATGGTACATAAAGTTGCATGTTAAGAGTGATGATATTTTCTATCCTGTGACGTGTGGCATTCCTAGGGAATCCTAGGGTAAAAGAAGGAGGTTTCTGAGGAGGGAGTCAAGCTATCCAGGGGCCTTAGTGGCCCCACTGGGCTACCCTGAGGCCTCAGAGGATCCATATCTTTGCTAAGCCCTGTTCTGGGACTACACTGGGACACTTCGATGTGATTGTCATGTCTAGTTTTACTTATTCAAAGCAGAATTCCTGAGTCACCCACCTACCCCATAATACTTTCCTACCTAGAATAGCATCCAAACTACAGTGGGGGGTACCTGCCTAATCAATAGCATTGCTATTGAAGAAGATGTGGTTGTGTAAGCATCTTGGCTTGGAAAAACCACCTGTGTTTCCCAGCCTCCCTTGCAGCCGGGGGTGGGGGGCAAATTCTGCCACTGGAATGTAAGTGGGAGTTTGTTGGGAGATTACTGGCAAAATTTTGCATGCTTGAGGGGCGCCTGGGTGGCTCAGTTGGTTGAGTGTCTGACTCTTGATTTCAGCTCAGGTCATGATCTCAGGGTTGTGGGATTGAGCCCCGTGTCGGGCTCCATGCTCAGCACAGAGTCTGCTCGAGGTTCTCTCTCTCCTTTTGCCCCCCCCCCCCAAATAAAATAAATAAAATCTTAAAAAAATTTTTTTGCATGCTTGATATGAAGACTGCCCTTCCTCTCCTTGACTTCACTGTTGATACTGCCCTGAATTCAGCCAGGAAGTGGAAGACAGAGCAATCCTATTGCAACCATGAGGCGACTAAAGGTAAGCATGCCAAATGCTAAGGGTAGCAGAGCACAGAGATCAGAGGCATGTGGGATTTGAGGTTCTGTGGAGGCTCTGCAGAGCAATGGACCTCCCTTATAGACTATTGTGTTGTGTGGAAAACAAACCCCTATTAGATCAAGTCCCCGTGGTTGGTGTCTTTACATGTAGCCAAATGCAGCCCCCAACGCACATGGCCTCCCAGGCCCTGCATGATGGGGGCCATGCCCGCCTCTGGGAGCTCATGTCTCATGGCCCCTCTGGCCACCCTGGCCTTTCTGATACTCCTTTAGTGGGACAATCCAGTCCTTCCCTTTGGGCCTTACCATTAGCTGTTCCTCCACCCGGAACCATCTCCCGCAGATTCTTGCACGACTCACTCCTTCTTATTTGGAGTCAGCTTTTCCATCGGGCCAACCTTGCCCACCAAACCTGAAGAAGCCAGCCCAGGTACTTGACTCTCGTCCCTTTGTGTTCACAGCACTTCATCCTCATCCAAAATTCCTCATCCATCTTCTGGGCATTAACTCTCTGTCTCCTCTGACTGTAACACCAATCATGTGTTAGCCCCACGAGGGGAGAGACCTTGTCCAATTTGCCCACTGCATGGGCAGCATCCAAAACCAAAGTGAGCACATAAAAAGCACTCCGTGGATATTCTCCCTCATAATTCCAGAGCATGGATACATTTAATTTCTTGCGACTGTTACCAAAATGAACAGCCAGTAGGGACTACACAGAGAATGAAAATACACCTACCGTGTAGGTACCATCAATACAGATGGCCATGTATCCTTTCTACCACTTACTTCCACCATGCACACGTTTGTGTGTGCATGTGTGTATGCGTACGTGCAGGTGTGTCAAGCCTCACCAGTCCCGGATGCTGAGGGTAAATGTCACGCACCACCCACTGGAAGGTTTCTATGTGGCCATGCACACCCAGCTATTATTAGAATTGCCGAGTGACTAATCTCCTTTGAAGCTCACTCTAATTCTGAGAGCAAGGCGGTTTCACTTCTTTTACCAAGGAAAGAAAAGTAAGCGAAAGGGAGAAGGAGGGATTGTTGGGTTGATACGGGACACAACTCGTGAGTCACGCGGGGACCAGAAGCTGGCTTTTTGAAGCCCTAATCCCATTTTCTCCCACTATTGGCTGCCTTCTAAGTAGAGTGCTGTGAGCTGTTTCCCTTTATTCTCTAAGTAGACTTGTTCGATCCCAGATGGTGCTGGAAAAAATGGTGCCGAATGCAAGATACTTCTGAATGTGAATACTGTGAGCACCGGAAAAAGTATTTGAAGAAGGAACAGAAAGTGCAGATCCTCTCCTCCAGGTGTGTGTGTTGTCCCCTGGGCTCCAGCACTGAACCTCTCTCAGCCTGTGTCCTTATCTGCACGATACATCAGAGGTGTGAACACTCACCTCCTCAGGGCTTGTGTGAATTCAGGATGAAGTGCTGCATACAGGCTGCTGAGCTCTTCGTGGTCACATTAGCTGTCCACAAGATCCTGAGACCCAAGGGCTCCTCCATCCTCACTGATGGAGAAACCCCGCCCATGAAAGGCCAAGCACAGGGATCGGTGGCTGGTATGGGGGAGACCCGAGAAAACCCCATGCTTGTCACCATCCTGCTCTGTAAACCGTAACATCCTGGATTATGTAGTGTTACTACTGTGAAGGGAGTTTTCATTAGCACTCAGGAAATAGGTGAGTTGTCCTAGGGTGTATTGAAAGTACCCCACCTATCAATCAGTTTGATGAACGTTGCTTCCTTATTCCAGACTGGCCCATAAGTTCTGTCTTCTTGCGCTGTTTGTCTGACAGGTGAGGATTTTTATATTCTGACTCACTACACAGCACTTCTCTTCCATTGTTGATATTGCTCAGAAAGGGAGGGCAGCCTTCTTGACTTTGTAACATCCAAGAGATTTCTTATTATATTATGGAGGTTTTAAAGAATATTAATTTAAGGATAATTTATGTGACACCCCCACACATACAGTACTTAAGGAGAATATGCATGTCCTAGAGTCAAATAAAAATAATAGAATATCACGGGTCTTACACCCACCCACACACACACACACACACGAGGAATCCTTTGGGATTCATTGGGCTTCGACTTGTCAGTCACATGGTAATCTAGAAGCACTTTGGGTCATTTTTCTAAAGTAATTCAACAGCTAATAAAGGACATGGAGGTCAGTTTTGGTCACATAGGAGGTTATCCTTTAGCTAAGGATATTTGGAGAAAAAAAATCCCAGCCTGAATCTTGGCAACACATTCTTCTTATCAGTATTTGGAAGTGAGAAATAGAAACTGCAAAAAAGATGAGTGGGCTACAGCCACGAATGCTGATTTCCCACGGAACTGCAAATGCTGTGGAGTCTGTTTATGAAAAGTGTGTTTTAGCGAGAGATGTGGGGTGGGCGCAGGGATAATTTTGTTTCTGGCTCTTTCACAGAGTCATGATTTGACCTTGTGCAAAGCTACATCCACATTCTGGGATTATAGTTCCATAGTGGAGGCGATAACACGAATCTCACTCGGATTCAAGTAGTTATTCAATATTAGTCTTAGCATTTATCTCCTTATATAAAATTCTTACAAGGGTATCTGAATTGCTCTAAGTATAAAAAATAAACATGACAAAGACATCAAGAATAAAGAGGTTTTCAGCAAGATAAAATCATCTCAAGGGAGTCTGAAATTGAAGAACAACATATATTGCTTAGATTTTTTTTTTTTTTTCTTAATCTATCCAGGATTCAGTGGTCCTAGGACATTATTTTACCCTTGTCCCATTAAAAAATTTGGAAGTTTCTTCAGGGGTGAGTATGTCATTTTTAGAGAGCTAAAGTGAAAGACAAACAGGACGTTGAGAGGCTGCTTCGGCCTTTCAGCCGTGAGCCTCTGCTCAAACTTTCCACTTGGGATTGGCCTGGGAAGGAGAATCTACAAATGGCGGAGAGCTGGTCTCGGGGTTTCCAGACCAAGGTTTGAGACCCAGCCTGATCACACAGATGTGTGACACCAGGGAAATGCCATCGTCTCTGAGTTTTGATGCCTCCCTCCCCTTAAGAAATGGGAGTAATAATGCACCCTTCTAGAACATTTACAAGAAGAGTATGTGATAGCATATTGAAGATGCTGGGTAAACTTCAAGGAACTAAATACAAGTCTACCCAAAGCACATTACTTGTTAGAGATTTTAGAGAAACAGCAAAGTAAACATGACAGACCATGACGACTATTCAAGACATACATACACAAGACAGAACAACTGTCTGTCTTCTATGTAATATACAAGACAGAACATGATGAATATTCTGGAACAATACGAGGTTCCCAGTGATTTGTGGATGGGTAGGAATGGTGATAATGAACTGGTTTCAAGGGTTAGGGGACATAGAGTCGAGCTTTGCAGGTTGAGCAGAATGCCTTTCCAGTCGACAGGAGGCAGAAGGAGGACATACCATATGGAGGAATAGCAGAGGAGAAGCCTGGAGGCAGGAGGCAATGGTCTGTGTGTGCAAAACAGTGATTCCTCCAGTCTGACTTGAGGGTGGGCTGAGCACGGAAAGGTAACAGAGGATCAAGGAGGTCCTGGATTAAGGTCTGGCTGAAGAGAAGACAGTGGGATTCTCATCTTGGCTTCTTGCATTCAGTCTCCTGCAATATCACATCTTGTAGCCTCTGGGATGCTTCCTTGTACACTCAAGAGGAAATGAAAGTGGAAAAAAGCAAAAAGCATTTCAGTATCATTTAAAAAAAAAAAAAAAAAAAAAAGCTTTGACCTTACATTTCCTCTGAATGCGTATAGGGAGCCTCCAGAGGTCCCTGGACCACATTTTGAAGATTGCTGTTTGGGATCATTGTTTAGACATATACTGATTTAAGATTAAGAATAAAAAAGAATTTGGGTTAACGAAAAGAACCACCACACCATCGTTAGTGGGGATGTCAGCCCTACAATAGGCTTGGACCGCAATGCCATCTGGTATTCCCCAGCGGTGGTCCAGGTCAGCAGGTGGACACTCAGGGGCTCCCTCTTCTGAGCTGATTCGCAGGTGCTGGGCCAGCCGGGTCCGATGGGAGGGTGGTGCGGGATTGTCTTCCTGAGTGACAGCCGCAGCCCCCGAGGTCTGGGCTTCCCTGCTTACCACAGCTGTTTCCAGATGCACAAAGCCCTCCTGCTGTGCTGCTTGCCTTCAAAAAGGCAGTTTGAGGAATCTTGGAGTTTTGATAGTCTTATAGACACCAGTTTTCAAAAAAGCTGTTTTCACAGGCTTTTCAAAAAACCGAGATGGGTAACATTGTACAAGTACAATGGTGATTTGATACATTAATATGTTGCAATATGATCACCACCTTAGCATTAACTAACATCTCTATTAGGTCACATAATTATCATTTTTGTGTGTGCAGTGGGAACAATTAAGACCTAGTCTCTTAGCAACTTTGAGATTTATGATATATTATTGACTATAATCACTGTGCTATGAATTAGATCTCCAGAATGTATTTATCTACTAGTTGTAAGTTTATACTTGTAAACATCTCCCCAATTCCTCCAACCTCCAGCTCCTAGTAACCACCAATCTACTTTCTGTTTCTATGATTCAGTTCTTTTAGATTCCACATATAAGTGATACTGTACAGTTATTTGTCTTTGATTTATCTCACATAGCATAATGCCCCCAAGAACAATCCCATTCACAATAGCCTCAAAACCAATAAAAGGCTCCGGAATAAATCTAAATAAGGAAGTGAAAGATCTGTGTACAATGAAAACTACAAGACTTTGATGAAAGAAATTAAAGACATAAACAAATGAAAAGATAGCCCATATTCGTAGATTGGAAGAATTAATATAGTTGAAATGTCCCCACCACTCAGAGCTATCTATAGAATCAATGCAATCCCTGTCAAAATTCGAAAGGCATTTCTCACAGAAATAGAAAAAACAATTGACAGGTTTTTAAGTGAGGAATGGTGAATGATCTCAAAGAGCTTGTTGGCTATTTCTTTCCCTTCCAAAGCTGCGTGTTGTGACTTATCTCAATAGGCATAGATGTTTTGACTACTACATAGTAGATGTTTGGACTACTTTCATGTAAGAAGCACTTTTTATGAATACATTAAAAAAATAAAAATATACTTTAGAAAACCTAAGTAATAGAGCAGTGTCCAAAGGTGAAAGCAATAACCCTGTCTCAATAATCCTGTCAGCATTAGAATCTACCACATATGACATCTGGCTTCCAGAAAAAAATAGATAAGGATTCTTTTTAACTACCTTATTTAGTACACTGTCCCTCAGTTTATGCTTGTCTAATGTTTCCCTCATTGTTAAATAGAGGTTATGGGTTTTTATTTATTTATTTATTTATTTATTTATTTATTTATTTTTAAAGATTTCATTTATTTATTTGAGAGAGAGAGAGAGCACATGAGAGGGGGGAGGGTCAGAGGGAGAAGCAGACTCCCCGCCGAGCAGGGAGCCCGATGCGGGACTCGATCCCGGGACTCCAGGATCATGACCTGAGCTGAAGGCAGTCGCTCAACCGACTGAGCCACCCAGGCACCCCGAGGTTATGGGTTTTTAGAAGGAAGACCATAGAAGTGAAATGCCATTCTCTTCACATAATTTCAAGGGCACATGTTATCAATATGACTTATCATAGGTGACATTCACCTGGATTACCTTGCAGATAGAAAGGGCTTTAAGTATTGTTATTTTATGGATTTAAGTTAATTTATTGGTGATTTCAGCTCTCAGGAATCAGCATGAACAGGAGCTTGGGTGGGTTTGGCTTATTTATTGCTCCTAAGTTATTTGCATCATAACATTCAAGTGATGAGCCTGTATCAATAAGCAAATACATGTCCATGATTCTGGAAGATACCTTTGGGCACTTCTCTCTCTCTCACTAGTGAGAGGGAGTGAGTTTCATTCTTCTCACTATTCTGAGGTTAGAGATGGCAGATAATTTCCCTAACAAACTTAAAGCCTATTTCCCTGCTGAAATTACCTGGGTTTCTTTTTAAGCTATCTTTCTTCCCAGTGAAATGATTTAAGAAAATTGATTAATTCTTTCATTCAGGCTGAAGTCTCTGTGTGTGACTGCAGGCTGAAGGAGGCTGTATATAAGGATTTTGGAGGGCGTCCTGGTTCTCCCCATGTTTTGAGGAAAACCAGTTCTGCTCTTGCTCAATTTTTAGGAAAAGGTCCGAGCTTAGGAAATACAATTGTGATTAATCCAGATAAGAAAGAATGTCAAGTCCATCCTTCAGGCTTAGAGGGACCCTCTGGGGCACCATTCAGAGCT